GAGGGCGTGGCGATGCCGTCCAGCGCCCGGCCGCGCGGCGGGGCGGCGTTGCCTCGGCGGCCTCGGCGTGCTGCTCCCCTCCTCTGCCCTCGGCGGGCTCGGGGCGGCCCTGGACTGCCCCGGGGCGGCGCGGCCCAAAGAGGCGTACGGGGGTGCAGCGGGAGGCGATGGGGTGCGGGGGGAGCGGGGCTCACCCGCGGAAGCAAAGTTAAATTTGGCGTCACGTCGCCCTCGGGGCTGCCCGTGCCGCCGCAGCGACGCTGCTGTCGTCTGCGTACGCGCTGCGCGGGCCCAAGGGGGGCAGCTCCCCCGCTGCGGGGCCGGGGGGGACGCGGGGAGGGAGCGGGCAGCGGTGGCTGGCGGCGCCCTGGCCGCTTCGGTGCGGTGGGCTGACGGAGGTGGAGGCAACGGTGGCAAGGAGTGATGCGGTCAGCAGTGACCAAAGCGTTCACGTTGCCGGGGCAGAGCTGCTTGCAGGCAGGAGTACGCAGGGACAATTCAGTGAGCTCTGCTTCCAACTGAAATCACTGCGGGGCGGTCTTTCTCAGGGACATACCTTCTCCTGTGTTTAATAAATCTGTATTTTATTTTCCAGACATCATGCAGGTTATTCACTACTTTTAGCTTCTGTTCCTCAGGAAATAAAATTCTGACAGCTAGTTTTTGTGTCTCTATTTGTCGCTGTAACTCCCCCAACAGTCTGTAAGAGTAACAAGTAACTTGAAAGTATATATTTTTTTCATTTTTTGATGAAAAAAACACTTACGTGGTATGCTAGGATTTATATTTTTGTTCTCTTCTATCTGTAAAGGTCTTTTCAGGAAAGGCAGACATAACTATGGAAAGAAACCGATGAAGGAACCAGTCAGAAAGTGTTTGAATGCAGTATTTCCACAAAATCCCAAAACTTCAAGGTTAAATTAAAAGCAGGTAGTCCCGCTAATGCTTTTCAGAAACACACCGAGGCAAAAAATGGACTTTGGAGATGATCTGTCATCCTTAAGATTGACATTTTTAACAACAAGATTGTTGCAACTTCATTTATATTTTTCTTCATATGTATATTCTAATTAACTGTTGATTGCAATTATGTCACTATTCTGTCATCAGATTAAAAACTTACCTGTTTTTCTTTCTTTTTCTGCCTTTGCTTTAAAAAAGAAGCATCAAAGGCCTGGTCTGAAGCCAGATTGCAACAGCAGGAACTTGTCCATTAACTTCAACAGACTCGAATCAAAATCTCAGTTACAACTGGTTACCAATTTTACTTAAAGTTTCTTTCAGTGGGAAAAAAAGAAACTTCTTTTGCAAGTTTCACTGGGAAAGACTTCTCAGCTTCCAGATGGAATTTCTAGTACGAACAAGTGAGATAATCACTCTGAAATAGTCTCACTTGAGATGTAGGAGTTTCGGATTTGTGCTCCTGCTTTGCCTGTTCCAGGCCCTCCCACGTCTTGCAGAAATAGACTAAGGATTGGAATATAAAATTGGTACTTGTTTTTCTAGATAAGTTAAAATATTTATCAACCCAAATGCTCCAAAAAAGGGGACTGATAGAAAGCCCCTCTTGTTCCTTTTCCTCTACAAAATGTTCTCTGTTTCACAGTAACTATTTCCCAAGTGCATTACCAAGTTCATTATTCTGTGAAGTATTAGGTAAGGTTTTTTTGTAAGAGAAAAAGATGTTTGAAAAGGAAGTTAAGTGAACCCTATAATAAGGAACATAAACATTTGGTTAAACTAACAAAAAGCACAGTTACCTGCTGGTCTAAATATTTAATTTCAAGGAGTTGTGCAAAATCAGTACTAACAGTACCATTGCTATCTAAAAATAAGATACTACACAACAACAAGCTCCATAACCCACAGAGCCATACAATGAATCAGCTTTAATTAATCAGAAAGAAAATCATGCTGAGGACACCTCTTTATAATTAGCTGAATTGGATTTATAGTCCCTACACAGCAACAGAGCTACCCAAAGGAGACTATGAAGAACCTAGACTCTTTAGCTGATGGCTCTTCTACCCATCCATGGGCAACAACGTTCCTGAATCTGTGTTTAATATCCTCTCGTGCTTCCTTTCTTTCTCTCCTGGTCTCCTACAGTCCTCTGTTGTTTTCCTGCACTTGTCTGCTCCTCCTAATACTACAGAAATTCAACACACACTTACTCTCTCCAGATGCTTGTCCAAAGTTTGTATGCAGCTTTCTAGCTTTCTTGCTGAGGTCTTGCCCTCCCAGCAAGATTGCAGGCTCATACACTGGAAAGCTGTTAAATTTCAAACTACTGGCAAGACAAATGCCAGTAAGTAAACAAGACTACAAAGGGAGTACGGCCTTGGCTGTCATAATAAAGAAGTGGAGTGTAACAGGCTGTTGCAAAAGGCTGTGTTCAACAGAGGTTCATCTTGACAACGTGTGACTTGGTTCTTGACTTGACAAAACTTCAGAAAATCTGGTAAAAAGCAAACCAGCAAGCCTTGGTGCACTGGTTTAGGCTGTTAAGTCGACCCAGCTACTACCCCTCCTCAGTGCTAGAAGTCTGTCCCTGTAGGAGGAGCAGCAGAACAGAGCATGAGCCTATTCTTCAATCCCCCAATGCAAAGCCCAACATTTTAAGACAGAGTTTTGCAAGCAGTTGTTTTAGCGGCTCCTACCTGGCCCGTCCTTCATGCCTGTGTGCCCTGGCTCACTTGTGCTGGTACAAGCGGTGAAACACAAAGTGAGTGAAATCACCCAGAGGAGAACAAAACCATACGAGCGGCTGAACTGGAACACAGCTGGGAGCGCTTCCCTAGGCAGCAAGGCTGGCTTAACGGGTTCCCAGCCTTGACTGCTCATTCCGACTCCCACACTGTTCGCTGCCCCCTCAGTTGTCATATGGATGTCTATGCAAGTTGTGATCACAGCAGCAGTCTCAGTTACACATACAAATATATTCCAGCCCCCTCCAATATGTATTTTTTGATTCTGGCCCATTTCAGGGACCCAGTTCATTGGCCCCAAAACAACTGTGCTGATAATCCTGCTGGGGGAATTACAAGGTGGGTGGAAGGGCCGGGGACAGCACCTCTTTAGCCACCTGAGGAAGAATAACTTCAGATTACATGCTCAGGACAACGGCCGCATTGTAAAGTGTCAAGGGAGCTCAGACAAAGCATAATCCTGTTTATTTTTGGACATCATTACGGAGAACAACAATAAGCAATCTCCACCCAAGGCCAGTTTACCACTCAGGACTCCCCTCCTGCAGGGCCTGTTCCCAGAAGGGGCTCGCTCCGCGCCCTGCGGCGCCGCCCCAATGCCTGCCAGAATCTGCTATCAGCCCTCGGCCAGAAAGGGAGTGCCTCTCTCCAAAATCTAGCAGTTCTGCACAACTCCCTGGTCTTTACTTGGTAACTTCCTTCGACCAGGTCAAACCCCAGGATGTGTACTTTCCCTCAGGCGGGTGTGATTTTCCAGAAATGTTTATGATTTAGGAAACTGACTGATGCAGTAACAAGGCTGGAAATTAGAAGAACGTTTCTAGTCATCAGACCAGCGAGGAGGGGGAACAACCTCTCAACAGAATTAATAAAGGCAAAAATCTAATGACTTTTAAGTTAGGGCATGGTTATGACAGGAATTCTACGACAGCAGGGCCACTGAGGTTTGTTTCTCCCTACATCCTTTAAGGAATGTTCAGAAAGGCGCTCGTGATTCCCTACAGCGCGACACTGCCCTGACGGGAGCTCCTGGAAACGGTGTGAAGAACTGCGCCTTTGGCAGGGAAAGAAAGGAAAAAAAGCTACATGATAGAAAACTTGTGACTTCTTAAAATTTGAAGCCAGAGCATGGAACTACGCAGTTCAGGCTTCCAATGTACATGCAAACAGCTGCTTGATCACATTTGATCAGCATCAACAGATCATATTTGGGTTTTACGGCTTTCACGGGTAGAAGCCTCTACCCGGCACGCCGTTTATCCGCCGAACACGAAC